TATTACGTTCCCGTATACGCACGTATATACGTAGTTATGTAATGCTGTGGAACATCGATTTCGACATTGCGACGGAAATACACGTTTTGGGGTTCCCTGATAAAGTGATTTTTTTTCAAAACGCCCGTCCGTCCGCCCTTTCGTTTCATTGTCTATATGTCTGTATGGTGTATGTGAACAACACTAGCGCCTAAACCATTGGTACGCGTTTTTCAAATTGAAGAAACCCCTGTCCATTTGGCTTGAGTCGGAGCTCTGCGATTTTCAAAATCATTTATTCGTTTTGAACTTAACATGAAGCCCTTGGGACTTTTTCAAACCTCTCTCAAAAATGGCTCCACATTTTTTCTTTACGTTTCTTCTAAGGAGATATTTCTACACTAGTGTTTGTGATAACTGCAGCACCAAGAAGGAGACATACTATTAAAATGAAATTTATTACACAGTTTAGGAATATCACAATATACAAAGTATTAAAATTACAGAACTGTACCTGAATTTTGAATTTGAGTATAGTAGGGAGGGAAGCCGCCACGCGCTGCCGTCAGAGCCTCTGCACGTCGTGACGTGGAGGCAAAGAGAGGCTGGATGTGCTGCTGGGGACCACACTCCACGCGGTTTCTATGCGTGGCCACGAAGCATCGGCAGTGGCTGCAGGACCAGAACGCACATGATGCCGACCGATCACATCACAGACATGTTCGATGGGCGTCTTGACTGGTGAACGAGCAGGCCAGCGAAGCAGTGGTGCCCGTCGGTCTTCGCAGAAAGCTTGCTCGTTCCTCGCCACATGCGGTCGGGCTTTATCTTGCTGAAGTACTGCAGGTGGAACTGCTTGCAAGTACCTCGCAAGTAGTGGCAGTACCTAACACTTCCCTGATGCAGCAGTTGCTGTCCAGGTTGCCCTCAATACGCATGAGGTGAGATCGCACATTGTAGCCAGTGGCGCCGAAAACCATCCCCCTGGGCGTTTGTCCGCAGGCTGGCAGATCCCCTTTGCAGCGGAGGACACGCACGCGCCCATCGCCGTACCACCAATTGAAGGAATAGTTTTTTATCAAGAAGTAGTTACATGAAATCGCCTAGTAACCCGATAATGCTGTATTGCTTTTTAAATATTTGTTTTAAGTTTGATTCTACGGACATTTACAAACAGCAGTTTTCGGTATTTAGGTTAATAAAATAACCACAGAACATGTCCCACAATTCATTAAAATCAAACGATTTTCTTACAATTACTATTTTCATCAATATCCGACGGGCTTCCTTGAAGTTATATTTCTTTTAGCTCTGAAGAAGCAGTGTATCTTGAAAAAGGCCCCAACATTTTAGCCGAATAGCCGGTTGCTCTGATGGGTAGTTCCGTAGAAACGTGTCTCCTACCAATACCAGGCGAATACCGGAGCAGTACACTTAGAAACGGGTCACAGTCCGCGTGCAATCTTTCCTTGCCATTCCTACCCCTTACTTACACGCACACACACACTTACATGCACTTCACAAACATGCATGCACTTACATGCACTTCACAAGCATGCGTGCTGGGAGACCAGTCGGATCTTAGAGCTTGTCCTGGTTGGGGCGGTGCACTGCGGGTGGGAGATTCCTGGTTGAGGAAAAACCCGTTAGCTGAAGTTAGGACGGCGTCTGATCCATCACCACCACCAGTCGCCATGAAATATGCACTACACTTACGGGAATAATGACATTAGCAGTTGATTTGCCCGGAAACACTAATCAACCAACCAACCTGTTGGCCGAAACGTTTGCCAAATACGACGCAGACATTTCGTTCCGCACAGGAAAAATTACATAATGACACAGCCAGCTGTCAAAGAGTAACTTATGTTCGGCGGGTTTAACCACTACTTTCTAAACTGGTGTAATCCTATGAAATGTTTTGGTGTGTTGTCCCAAGAATGGCTTGGGCGCCACGAGACTTGATCATGCCGCAAGGCAGTCGAGGTACTTCTTTTGAGTAAGTCTAAGCAAATGAAATGATTAAAATAACCGAATGGAACAATCGACTTCTGACCTTCTAGTTGGGGCTGAGAACATTACATGACGGCGTGCACACCCAGAAATCGAACCTAGAACCTCCTTTAGGGCAAAAGAAGGTGGTTCACATGTTCTTTACGTAACAACCTGAACCGCTGAAAAAAGATAGTGATTTCAAACGATCAATCTTTGTTATTTTATTTTCACTAATGAGGAAGAAGAGATTGTTTCAGTCTGTTCGTACTTTAGATATAACTGCCTTTTTAACGATGTTAGCCAGAGGCCTGATGATATTTTCGTAGTCATCGTCACATTTGCTGAATGTCAGGGTTGATCTTACAGTGGTAGAAGAAAAGCACAACATTTTTCCTAACTCCTTTTACGTCTTCATATTGACTCAATACCTGCTGTCTCCTCACATAAATGATAGTTCATTTTTTCTCGAGCATGACGGTTTTTTCAATACGTCTGCTAATCCATTATTGTATTATCTCTCTGAAGCAATGTTGTTATGATATTTTGGATGATTATTGAACAGCTGATGAGAGAGAAGAAAGACCTTAATTAACACACCCCAAGTTACGCACGTAGGATATGTATTCTGTAGATATTTGTGTCATAGAATCAGAGTCATATTAGTATCACAGAATACACACTTAGAACTTTAAATATAGGCACTGAACATATTTTAACGCTACTTTTCGCATAGATGTAATAATGTTCTTTAATATGTTTAAAATAATTGAAAAGCATTTTCTGCTGCTAAACTGTTTATACCGATTTATCAGGGACAGACAGTCGGGCAAAAAATAGCTCAATATTCATTTATTATGATTCATGCTATATCTCACTATTGTGATTATTTAGAATACATTGAAAGAATACATAATTATTGTTTTACTAAAACAATTTCATTCGAGAAGACGAACCTCGATACACTATATTAATGAAACGAGACAGTGTTGTGACACTGTGATTTTTACAACGACGAAAACTGCGTAAGTGGCAAGTGAAAACAATTCGAACGGAGCAGGAATTTTGTTAATATCCTTAGAGCTCTTCGGTATGTTTTTTGCTAAGGGAGTTTCCGGTTACCTACTTACAGGAAAGAATCGTATACCAGTAGGTTCTCCCAAATGTGCTGTTTGTTCCCTCTGGAAGTAAATCCGGTCTTGATTGCAAGGTATAATAATGTTGCCTATTACACGTAATACGAGTTAGTCTGTGCTATGTCGTTAGACTAGACTACTAGTTTCTAATGATTAGGGATTGGTCAATGTGTGTTTTGAGTTTTATAAATAAATGTCAATTAATATCAGAATTTTTGCATCTTTCCAAAGTCAATTTGGATTTCAGATTCGTCGGAGACACTATTAAAATTACTTTTATGAGTCCAATGTGATTTATTTCATATTTTCATCAGTATTGAGTGATGTGATCAAATAATTCTTTGTTGCGTCAAATTAACTGACACACTAAGGCGGGTGCTACAATATATTTTCCAATTTCCTTCTTATGTCACGTGTCATGTTTAAACGTTTCTACATTTTAACATTAACATCTTAAATAATAGCAATTCATGTATAGATTCTTCAAATGATATTAATAATTTACGTTTTAATCGTTAAATGCTATTTATTCTTGGAAAACAACTAATTTTGTTTGGAAAAAGAATGGGAAGTTTGTGAAAAATAAATCATTTCATTAAAGCAGCAGGACTCATTACTCCTGAACCATTAGTTCAGAACGGCAAACAGCTTGGAAAATCAATTATGAAATGTTTGTTCCAAACACATCTTAATTTTTCCCGTCTATTGTATTCGATGGCAGTCTAATTTATCAACTTACGAAGTATTAGAGGTTTAGAATAATGATTTTACAAACTCATACCGGCTTGGGAAGGCCAAATTCTACCACATTCAGTTCCATGCGTGAGCGAAAAGCCGACTGTCTCTCTCACACAAGAGCGATCACATTCTAAATTATGTTTTGGTTTTCTCGGAACAATTTCCACGCTTCTATAGCACTCTTCTTCTACGTTCTAAAATTTTTGGGGCTTATTCCTTTAGCTTACGATCGAAAGGGTGAAATATTTTGCGTCTCCAAATTACAAGTGACTTACAATTGTTGGCTTGTGATAGGATCTTTGATGGTTTATTTTATTACTTGGGTTTCTCACTTGCTCAGATTAGTGAAAATTGTACTGAATGCTAAGTTAATTGTCTTTCTTGCGTTGCGATTAGTGGATATGATAGTCATCGCCATTCTACCACTACTTTTCTTTGTTGCTTGTTCTCTAAAATACCGTGATATTCTTTCTAAAACCATGAACATCTTTCAGGAAAATGAGAATGTGCTTTTCATTAATTTGGTGGCCCGATACAAAAGAATTAACATAGGGTTAAAATTTTTATTGCTGGGACAAATGTTACAATTATGTTTTTCTATAACTCTGGAATATTCTCCTAGAGTTATATTTTTTGGACACATTAATTCAATTTTAGCATTCATTCTTTTACTAATTACCAATAATATTGGAATATTGTTTACACATCTCATTTTACTTGCATATACACAGCTTAGAGCTCTAAACAAACATTGTAAAGAATGTCTACTGAAAGGAAAAATAGCATATAATGCTTTGCTTACCAAGAAATCTATTAACAAGCGTAATATTATGCGACAAATCAGTTACACCGGAGAATTTTCCTCGGATAAGATCAATGTTACTGTCCTGAGAATGTCCGACAAAATTGACATTATCAGAAGAATCCACTGGGACCTAGTAAAAACTACCCGTAACATAAACAAAATATTTAATGTTCCCTTGTTGTTGCATTTTACGATTTTCTTCAATAATATGATCCATTCTTTCTATATGGGCCTGCTTTTCGATAGAGAAATGACTGAACCGCTGACGGACAGTGACGCAAGCAGCTCTTTCAGAGCGTCTCTGATTCTGGTGTTCCTGAACGCCGGCACTCAGGTGCTATTTCCCGCAGCTGCCTGCCACCTGACGGCGCAGGAAGCCGCTCGCACGGCCGCAGTAGTGTCGCGTTTGCAGCTGCAACAGCACCTCACTCCCGAACAAGATGAGCAGCTGCAGATGTTTCAGAGGCAGCTGAGCCTTTCGGCAGTGGAGTTCTCGGTGTGTGGCCTGTTCAGAATCGACCTCCCCTTCGTGTACGCAGTCGTGGGTTTATTTGCTACCTACCTAATAATGCTGATACAAAATACCAGGTCAGTTTCTTCGATACAGATTTCTCGTACTGATTGCACTGACAAGAATGGTTTCCCTTCTAAAATGGTTGTGTGTGTAATTTATTCTTCAGGCCAGGCTTGTTGGGTGACTCGGTTGAAGGAAGTAAGAGTACAGATGTGACAGTGATTACTCCTATCGGCGCCGAATGACTAGTAGTGAATTTGCTGCTTGAAACTGGATGTAGGATTTATACAGAAAGGTATTCTAGGCTTCGAATTGCTGTCTATTTACTCGTATCACAAACAAGATTTTTCATCTATATCTCTTCATCGAAATTAAACAGTGTATTTATTATCTATTGTTAATTATAAGAGTGTGATTTAGAAACGTATTCTGCATCTTGAAATACGTAATTTATTCATTACCTCCCGCTAACACTGCCTTGCAAACGAGTTAAGCGTTGATATCCAAGAGATAAAATGAAATGTACGAGGCGCACCCAGACATGCACATTCCCTATGACGTCATTAACAATTTCACGTTAAAGCTTTGTTATACCAAGTACATGCTCAATTTTTCCACATTATCAACAGCAGACTTCATATGTAATGCTGACTGGATAGGAATTTCTTGTGGCTGGGTGCAAGAAAAGATGGAAATCGCAGGAGGCGAGATCGGGTCTTCGAAGTGGATGGTCGAACACTTCCCAGCGGAACTGATGTATACAGTCTGAAAGTATACGATTAAGCCGAGCCGTGTGAACACACATTGTAGAAATTCTTTTTGATGACGGCCTGGGGAAATTTACTTTCTGGTTGCACCTCTTGTATGTATGTATAATATTTACATTACAGTAAAAAGACATTTGGGTGTACTATCAGATTTACTCCAAGATTCTGAATTGTGTTACTACTACTTTGGCTACCTACGATCCTAATTTATGAGAGATTACTCTTTGCTCACTGTTTCTTCGTAATTATACATTACCTCTAATGAAAAGAAGCAATAGAAGTGTGCAAGTGATAGAGATCCGACCAAGACCCTACCTAATTTTATGAATGAAATCCACTTGTCAAATCACGCTGGTATAGGCTGATAGCAACTATTCGAAGATGACTTCGATAATGTTATAACTTTTCTTCTCATCTAAGAAGCAAATAAAGAATGTCCATATTCTACACCGGTCAGTATTTGTACATTTTCCGCAATTTCTGACAATTTGTCTACCACATTAAAGAATCTTTCGTGATCATACGTCCATCTTCATTGATATACTCGCGCGTAGGTTCAACAGTGCGGCTTTTCGCACGCATTCTCGTGACGGATAAATTCCTTCAGGTTTGGATCCAATTGCACGAGTTTCACACCCTTTAATGTGTTTGATTTGGGACGTTTGAATTTCGAAAAGAATATCCCTCTGCACTTTTAAATCTGAATTTGTTCACATTTGTGAAGCATGTGCGTCATTTGCCTGATCTCAGGTTTTGCCTTCTAGCTTCCTCTTACCCAGTAGAGAGAAAAAGTTATGTAACGCGGCACGAATAAACGGCAAATATCCGGCAGAAAAATTTTGTCAGTTCCTGATAACGATAAAAATTGGAAAAATTGAGTTGCTAAATTAAGGGGGGATATTCTTAAATACGTGGTGTAATCAGAATGCATGTTTTGGGGACCCTTAAAACGGAAAAATCGTTTAACAACAAAATGTCTGTCCGTCTGTGAACTACGCTAGCGGCTAAACCCTTCAGCCGATTTTGTCCAAAATTGATATTCCACAATCGATATGACTGTTGTCGTGGCCTATTTAATTTGAAACTGATATTTTAATTTTAGGAGGTAGTTTACATAAAGTTCAATTTTTTCCTTCCTATAATTTGAATTTCAAAGACAATTTTCTTCTCTTCATGAAATCTGTTCCTTAGAGATAGATTTTGAAAAAAAGTCATGTACAGTTTTTCGAAAAGGTAAGTATTTTTCTTGTAATTTTGCGTATAATATAGGATATTTTAAATTTCGTTTAAACATTTTTTCTCAAAAATAGCACCGGTAATTTTGATTAAATTTTGTCCTCGTATAGCGTATAGCACGCTTAAGAGAATGGTACAGGTTTTATGTTCATTGAAAATTCTTATGTTTGAAAATTGCAAAAATTCCCTCTCCCTCTTTGTGATAAAGACATCTCAAATTTATTTTTAAATCGATTAAATGCATTGAGAAGTACGTCTTGTTTATCTCATTTGCGTGAGGACAAATCGTAAGATAATTATTTGTATATTTAAAATCTTCAACAGACTATTAGTCCAACGGAGAGTCTATAAATTTAAAAAAATATATTAACTAATGAACACAATGTGTTATTTCAAGCAAATTTATGAAGCTTTTTTATAGGAAGTAGTTGAAATATTATTAGTTCATACTTGAATATATTTATTACTTTTTTGTAACAGCTAAAAATCCTAATATAATAAAGAGTGTGGTACATTGTTGTTTTAAGAAAATTACAATTAAATAGATTAATTAAAATAATTTTTAATATTTAATTGTCCAGTAGAATTTTTTTAACTACAAAGTTTTCATATTTAAGCATTATAGGTGTTGCTCAGAAGAGATTCTTTGAAAGCTTTCGTGGTGATATTGAAACAAATTACAAACACATTTTATTAAATCTGTTTATCACATTTTGTCAACCTTCATGCAAATGCAGACATTATTTCTCAGTACTACTTGTTGGAGATAATGCTTTTGACAGTATCTGTTGGTATCAACTTATTCTTTTCTAGTATCTGTTGGTAGTAACTATCGCATACACCTCAAAATAAGTGATATCAGATAACTGTCAGACTTCGAGGGACAGTGCTGAGAATTTGCATGCTTTTAGCGTGCTCTATTTACTTTGAAAAACTTGCCTAGAATAGTAGTATCGTCATTTCATTGGACTTATATCATCCAGCAAGGCCTGCATTTGGAAGATATTGCTTGTAGCGTTGGTGCTCACCGTATCGATGTCTTAATGACTTGAAAAGGCCTATCAAAGGGCAAGAAGCTCATTACCGTAACTCAGATTTTGTGGCCTCGACAGATCAACAACAGATTCTGGTGACAACTCTCTGAAAGTAATGTCTTGGAAGATTTTCAGGAAATAATAATCTCAAAATTAACTTTTTCTGGATGATGGTCACATTCTTGCTTCTCGGGCATTAAAGAGTTCTAAGCTATGAGAAAGTAGTAGAATGCAACAATTCGTATCTCAATCTCTAAATGAATGGGTAAACATCAGAACGGTATAATTGACATTTTACACACTCTGAGCAAAACGTGTTTATTTTAGGCTATATGACAGTAGAAACGTATTTTCGTGGTTTTAACGAACAATTTAAATGCCGTGATTTAAATGACGAAACGAAAAACCACGACTTTACAGTGATATTGACTTATATAAACATATTTCTCAGAATTTATAAAATGTCACTTAAACCGTTCAGGTTTTCACTCCCTCAAATATAAGGGGTGTTCGGGGAGGAAACGTCGAAACTTCGAAAGTAAGCTCTTAAGACAATTTTAAGCATATTTTGTCAAATAAATTACTTGGATATTCCAAAAGACTAAGCCGCTATCTGCACTCAAACCTCTGTTTGAAAAAATGCTTTGTATGCAAAAATTTGTAATGCATAAGCATAGAAACACTCCAGAAATATATAAACTGTTTATTATTTATAAAAGAAATGAATATATTTGTTTAGAACAAAAAATTAACACAGAAAAATCTAGTGGTTGTACAGAACAAAACAGACTTTCTCGTATTAGTTTTCTATTTCTTTCAGTCTCGTCTTGCTAAACGAACTTGCCACACATTCTTGCCAGTAGCCTTCTAATTTGCATTTTAAAAATGGGAAATGAAATGGAAGTCGACGTTTTCTCCCGGGCACCTGGCTCAATTGAAATATAATGTTTGGAGAAATCTTGTCGCAACCATGAAATGCTGAGTTGAGGGGGTGGCTGATAATGCATCCATGAATAAAATGAGGGCTGACTTTCTTAGTGGCATTAGTTTCCAGGATACAGATAGATAATTTTTTAAACTACTCTTCGCCCTTTATTCACTGTTGGCCCACAGTACATGCGCTGTCTACACAAAACAACAGGTTTTGAGTTTTGTATCAGATGAAATGCAAAGAGCGCTTTTGTAGAAACCTGTATTCTGTAAAATGGAAGCGTTGATGAAAATGAGTTATGTCACTCATTCTCACTTTATGAAATATTTCTATGTTTACTCAGCATATGAGAAAATACGTTTATTTCACATAGACGCCCAGCGGTCAGTCGCTCGCCCTCTCAAGCTCGTCATCTAACTGTGTTAATTCGTTGTCACGCGCATGTAAATAAGGAATTTGAGAATTTAAAATTATTCTAGATGGTCAATATTTTTGGCATCCCGTATATACTATCACAAAAAAGACTCAGCAAATGAGTACAGTCGTTTTATACATTGAATAATTTTTCTTTGAGTTTGACAATTGGACTTCGACAGAAGGAGCACCGCCGCATTTTACTATCCTTCCACATGCGCGATCGATCGAGCAAATGATCGATTTTTCGCAGGCAATCTACAGCAATTTGCAGCCCAATACTTCTTGTACTATCGATTTCAGTACTATGCTTGTGGTATTTTTCAGTCCGATACCTTTACTGCCTAAATACTCGTATACATGTTTATTTTGGAGCTATAAAAGTTGAGCAGAATCACTCAGCTGATATGACTGCCTTCATCATATCTTCTTCTATTATTCATTCCATGTTGGTGTAATCAAGGGATAATAGTGTCTCTGGAAAAGATGCTGCTATTGCGTATCACAAGGAAACCATTCGGAGCGTCATGACAAGAGTCCGAAACATCAAGTACCAAGAAGTTCGATGCAAGAAGTTAGTCATGCATTACTTCGAGAAAATCTGAGTTGTAGAAAGACCAAAAGAAAACAAATCTTACAAACATTTTTTAAATGACACAATTCTATGTTAACTACCATTAAAACTGAACTCTCATAAAATAAATTATTTCTTTGCGATTTCCAGAGGGGAAGTTCTTGGCAGTGTCTGGAGGCAACTCACTCACTGGAGACGGTACCATGCCCTATTTGCAAAAGGAAGCCGCGCATCTTGCATGTTCAGTTCATATCCCGTTTGCCGTTTTCCATATATTGCGAGGCATATCAAAGTGTAGAGGTTTTTGGCTTGTGTTGAGAAAATTGTGGATTGTAGCAGGTGTGTTAGAAATCCAGTATTTCTCCTATTCTGTTAGGATTTGAATATTGCTTTTGTTTAGTCTGCGTCTGTTTGAATGGATGGTTTCCGTGATTTCAGTCTATCGAGCGAAGCTGCTTGGATGCAAATGTGTGTAGGAAGG